CACCTTTACCGTTTCCCGCATAATAATCTAATTCGCAGCAAACAAAATTATTAATAAATTTATGTTTAACAATTAATTTTATATTAACTAACTATACTATCTCTTCAATAAATATTCAGTAATCTTGCCATCAGCCTTAAATATCAAATCTATTATTTATAACAAAGATATCGCTTAATAACCAATCTCTCTAGAAAATCACTAGATTTTCCCTAGACGCTTATTAATGAAAAATCAAAGAAACTAATAATCAAACTAGAGTCAGCTATTAATAATCTTCACAAGGGTATTCTAAACAATCAATTAATTTATTAACTTCATAAATAAAACATTATTAATTAACGTTATTTCACAATTATCTTATACTTATCTGGAAGCGATAAGATCTGATTCCTCCTAAGATTTGGACCTGAAACAAAAATAATAAATTAATTAAATGATTATCGAAAAGCAAAATAAAACGCCATGCTACCACCCTTATAATTATAAATTAAAATTAATATACTTACCTTATCATCTTAGCGGCAGATCAATCAGGGTTCTTCCTTATCTATTATCACCCTGTGCGATCAACGACCGCACCGGATCAACCAGGGCCCTTCATTTTCACAAGCGCCCTGCGCGATTAGCGTCCTGTTTAAAAAAAGACCTCTCATAGCGCCCTTCGCGTTAACTAAGCGTACAGGTTTCCGCTCAGCCCCGCTTGTTGACACTTAGGCACTAAATACACATATATATATTTTTTTTATAATAATTCTATTACTTACTATAGGGCGGTCTGTTCCCCCTTCAACTCTTTTCTTCTCTCCATTTTCCATAATCTCAGTTCAATAAACCGCGGAACCTAAACAGGACGTAACAACAGCTAAGGTTACAGATCAAATCTTGGACTCAGAAATCGTGTCAACGCTGTCACAGATGAATAGTATTGAGAAAATTCAATCTTTTTATGTCCCCAGCGTTTCCAACTTCCTTACTGTAGTGAGAGCGATCGCGCGCATAAAGCGGTTTGTTACTAATTACAAATTATACAAAGCCGGAAAACAAGATAGACTGAGTGGGAAGTTATCGAACGATGAGATCAACAATGCTGAAAAGACTATTTTGTCAATCGACCAACGAGAATTGTTTCAGGGGATCGACGACATAAAATTGCGTAATATGAATGTTTTTATCGCTGAAGATGGTCTGATCCGCATGAAATCGAAAATATTGGAACGTGATGATAGCTATACATTTCGTTGTCCAATAGTCCTTCTGGGAGAAAGCACTTTGATTCAAATGATGATTATCGAATTTCACATAAGGTTGGGACACGTGTCTGTCAACGCATTGCTCAGCGCTCTCAGAGAGGAATATTGGATAATACACGGCAGAAAAGTAGCGCGTAGTGTCGTAAGAAAATGTCGTCTGCGCACGACAAAACGCTCAACGTTTGAACGTAGATAAGACTCCACTGCCTATGAATCGCGTTCGCAACGCTCGAGTATTCGAGATTGTAGGAGTAGATTTCGCTAGTCCGTTGTATATGAAAGACGAAGTAAAAGCCTGGATTTGCATTTTCACCTGCGCAGTGTATCGGGCAATACACTTGGAACTCGTGTCAGCCTTGTCCACCGATAAATTTATAGAAGCATTTCGTAGATTTGTAGCCAGAAGGGGACGACCGAGTACAGTTTATAGCGACAATGGCACTAATTTTGAAGGTTTTTGTAATTTGTTAAAACGAATTGATTGGATAAAAATCCAAGAGTCTAGTCTAGTGTCTAAAGTAGAGTGGAAGTTTAATCCACTCAGTGCACCCTGGTGGGGAGGATGGTGGGAGCGCTTGATTCGAATTCTGAAATGTATGTTGCGCAAAATACTTGGTAAAGCATGTTTAAGTTATGAAGAGATGCTTACCGTCTTATGTGATTGCGAATCGGTGATTAACGCGCGTCCTTTGACATATTTGTCTGACGATCCTCGTGATCTGGCTCTTATCACTCCTAATTTGTTCTTGCAAGGAATACGTGAGATAGGTTTGCCCGACTGTGATGTCATGGATAGAGAAAAACTAAAAGGTAGATTTAAATATCGACAATTTCTCAAAGAAGAGTTACGTAAAAGATTTAGATCAGAGTATCTTGGACAACTAAAGTATGCATCGGCCAAGAAATTAACCGATGATCGTCAGATAAAACTTGGGGAGATTGTTCTCATCGGTAATGATTGTTCAAAGCGGCTCGAATGGCCACTAGGCCGAATAATAGAACTGTTCCCAGGAAAAGACGGGATAGTAAGAGTTGGGCTGCCGGCACACAGGACGCGTTGATGCGTTACGCGTGACGGAAGACGATGCGATAGCCAATGAAACTCTTGCTTGCCCGGAAATAATAAATACATAACTTCCGTCTCGCGTAAAATGTTGAACTCAATCCAACTTTTGTCGCGTGGTACAGAAACGGAAGTTGGAAGACACGTAATTCTAGTAAATTTTCAGAACTTGCGCGAGACATTACCGTGTCTCTTGAAGTATATAATTTTATCATTTTGTTTTTATTATTATTTTCCAAAGAAGACATTTGTGCAGTGTACTGTGATCAAATAAGAAAAGATTTATTATAGATTGCTATATAAAATGGATGTAAACGAATAGTAAGAAAAATAAAATAGTATTTTTAGGTTATTTTATACTCATAAAACATAAACATGTTGTTAATAATTATTGTAGATTCATGTAACAATTAAAACCTGTGTGACAATTTATTTATTATGTACATATAATACTAAACATAATTATTAAAATATTCTAATATGTATTAATAATATTAATATTTTTTCCAATACAATTTTTATTTTTATTATATTATTTAATTTAATTTATGTTTGTAGTGGTGCAATGATTGTAATACCAAAGTGTACAGTGGAGAAGAACATGAATGTTATATAGATAATAACAATAAAGATGATTACATAGAAAGGTTAATCGCAGAAGTCTTTGTAAGAGAGAGTTTGTGGAACTCTACATTGCCTTACAAGCTTAGAGGTCCAGCAAATATGAAAACATTATGGTCTGAAGTTGATGCTTGTTTAGGTAAAATTATTATCTATAATTATTATGTGTATCTATCGAAAGTCTACATATCGAAAAATTATTTTTTAATAAATCTAATTTTATAACAAACTGTATGTAGAGACACCTACTGGAAGCAGCCAAATAAAATGGAAAAGTTTAAGAGATCGTTTTGTTAAAGAACATTATTTACAATCAGCTTATATACCAAGTGGCAGTGGAGCTGTGAAAAGAAAAAGCAGTTGGCCATTATATGATACTTTACGTTTTCTGATTCCTACAGTAAATTATAGAAGGTACATATAATTTTTTAATTTATGAGAATGTAATATACACACACACATATATAATAAATATAGGAATATATAATAGATATAGAATTGTTATCTTTTGTATGTGTATGTATATAATTGATATTTCATACAATTTTTATATTAAAATAATATAAGTCAGTCTCTCTCTTTTTTTCTCTCTCTCTCTCTCTCTCTCAATTAATTTAAAAATTTATTTCAAGAACTAAAAGTAATCTTGAAAATATACACCCAGATTATACAATTATCACTTCCAAATAAATCTTGGTTTTTTACTACTAATTCTGGTCTTACTAACACAAGAGAAA